AAAAGAAGAATTTCAGAAGTGGCTCTGTTTCTTACTGGCCTTGAGCAAAAAGAGCACAGGGACAGGGCCCAGGCCCCAAATTCAAGCCCAACAACCAAAAAAAAAAAAAAAAAAAAAAAATATATATATATATATATATATATATATAATTTATATATATCCATTAAAGGGGACCATGGCTGAAGATGGATTGTAGTGATACAGCACCTGCCTAGCATGGATAAGCCCTGAATCTGATTGCTAGCAGCAGGGGGGAAAAATGGGCAAGGGGGAGTAAGATGAAAAATGCACACTATGTGGGAAGACTTTTGTTTTTGTCTTTTCTTTCTTCTTTTGGAGGAGGGGTGAGGGCAGTGGTTGTGGGGCTTGAACTCTGGGGCTGGGCGCTGGCCCTCAGCTCTTCAGCTCAAGGTGAGTACTCTACCTCTTGAGCCACAGCACCACTTTCAGTTTTCTGGTGGTTTATTGGAGATAAAAGTCTCACGGACTTTCCTGCCAGGGCTGGCCTTGAACCACGATCCTCAGATCTCAGCCTCCTTAGTAGCTAGGATTATTGGCGAAAGCCACCAGCGCCCGGTCTATGGGGGAAGATTTATGATGTAAATGGCCAACTAAGGGATGGTCTCTAGAAGACCTATGTCAAGGAAAAATACAAACAATCCAATACCTAAACAAGTACTTCTCAAAAGAAGTAACAAAATGGGCAAACATGGGGGAAAGTCTTGAACCTCACTCGTTAATAAGAAAATTCCAAATTAAAATCTCTAAGAGATACAATACTGTACACATATTAGATAGGCAAAATAAATATTCCTCTCAAAGTGAATGTAGAAGAATGCAATTATTAGCTCAGTATAATTCAGCTTATATCACCATAAAAATAACAAAATTCTCTGAAAAATAGTTTTCTGATACTTACCAACTAGCTGCACTCTCCCTGAAGATAACAGTGTTGAATCGTCCTTTCGGACATTATTTATTGAGTCATCTACTAGCTCTTTAATGTGATCAATTCCTATGACTTTTCCACTATGACCAACCTGTGAAAGAGAAAATAATTTAAGAGTATACTGAGCTAAACTGATGTTTCTTTTAAGCTAGGCACTGGTGGCTCACACCTATACTCCTAGCTATTCAGAAAGCTGAGATCAGGAGGATTATGGTTTAAGGTCTACCCAGGCAGAGAAGTTCACTAGACCCTAAAATAACTAGAAAAAGGCCAGTGTGGTTCAAGCGGGCAGAGTGCCAGCCTAGCAAGTATGAGGCCCTGAGTTCAAAACTAGTACCATCAAAAAAGTTCCCTTAATGTCATATTCTACGATGAGAATTCAAAACCAAAAGGCTAGCTGGGTGCCAGTGGCTCACACCTTAATCCTAGCTTCTTGGGAAGCTGAGAGATAGAATCATGGTTCTAAGCCAGCCAAAATGGGAAAGGTCCTAAGATTCTTTCTCCAATTAACCAGCAAAAAGCCAGAAGAAGAGGTGCTGTAGCTCAAGTGGCAGGGCACTAGCCTTGAGCAAAAAGGCACAGGGAGAGAGAGCAACAGGCCCTGAGTTCCAGTCCCAAGACTGATACAAAAGGAAAAAAAAGAAAAGAAAAAAGAAGATGAGACTCAGTGGAAAGGACTTGACCTCTTCAAAACACTTGAAAGAAGTATGTGAAACATCATTACATGCTAGGTGCTCAGGATGCAACAATGAAAAAACTAAAAAGATGAAATTTTTACTTCTCTCTGGAGTTCATAGTCTGTAAGCCTAAAGATTATATATTTATGGCAAGTTACAAGGATTCTAGTCCAAGATGGATTCGTTAATCTCAACTAGACCAGAAATCTTCCAATCTGGCTCAAAGGTACAAGATTTCACATAACCAATCTGACAAGATGATCTGAGCACAGGAGAACCTTTACTATGCTCTTTTGGGTACTCATATTCTGGATAATCTTTACCATATAAACCTCAGGCAACAAAAGTGGAAGTATAAAAAGCAAGGCATTCTTCCAATGTAAAAGAAGTTCTGACTTCATTCATAATAAACCTATAGGAGTGTCTATAAATCAAATCCATTCTTTTCTGACAGACAAATGTAGCTGACTGCCATTGTAAGAGCACAATGTAGAGCCTGACTGATAATAAAGCTAAGATGGGAAACAAAGACGCATAGCAAGACCCAGAGAGAAACTTACTGTCAATAACAACATCTAGGACACAGATTTTTCAATTATGTAACCTAAGTATTTTCATTTCAACTTTGCCATTTGGGGTTAAATATTATGCCACTTGCAACAATAACATGTTCAAAGTACCATCTCTTGTGTGTGCATTTGAGTTTGTGTGTGTGTGTGTGTGTTTGTACACACACATGCTACTACTGAAATCTGAACTCAGGGCTTTGTACTCAACTCTACTTCCCTCATGGCTAGTACTCTACTATTGAACCCTGCTTCCAATCTGGCATTTTTGCTTGTTAACTGAAAATAGAGACTCACAGACTTTGTTGCCTGGGTTGGCTTCAAACCAAGATCCTCAGATCCCAGCTCCTAGGTAGCTAGATTACAGGTAGGAAACACCTGACTCAATTGTTACCTTAATAGAACAAAACCCACAAATAATATGTTTCTGTCAGAATTAGAATACAAAACTCTTACCATACGTGCAAAACATGCAGTGAGGATTCCGCTTCCAGACCCTACATCCAGAGCTTTAGCTCCTTCGTGCAACTGATCAAAAAGAAGTTCTAGTGCGTAGGCATGCTGCCAAAAGAAAACAATCCAAACATTCATTCTTTCTAACACTCCACAGTATATGCACAATACCAACTTTCCAGTTTTTCTACTAGTATCTCATATGAAGACAAAAAATGAAATTATTCACTTAATCTCCTATGATGACAAAAAATGAAATTATTCACTTACGAATTAAATAAGAAAATTTTCTGTTTGACTACAATTCTTACATTTAGAGAAATTGGTCCAGTAATTTTAGATACCCAGAGTGAATTAAAATTCAAAGACAAAATCATACAGAGAGATTCCAGTGAAAAGCTACCTCCTATTTATACCCCCCCAACTATCCAGTTTTGCCCTCTAAAGCATCCAATGTTTCCAATTTCTTAAAAAAAAATTGTTTTATGTATACTGAGCAAAAACACATCCTAATTTAAAGGATCATTCATATCAATCCTTAAACAGCATATTCATTTATTATTTTTTGTGCCATTCCTAGGGCTTGAACTCAGGGTCTGGGCTCTGTCCCTGAGCTTTTTTGCTGAAGGTTAGCACTCTATCACTTGAGCCACTGCTCTACTTCTGGCTGTTTGCTGGTAAACTGGAGCTAAGAGTCTCACAGACTTTGCTTCTTGGGCTGGCTCTGAATAGTGATCATCATATCTCAGCCTCCTGAATAGTTAGGATTATAGGTATGAGCCAGTGGGTGGGCCCAGCTCCAGCTTGTTCATTTTTCATGGCTTGGGGGGGGGGGTCATACTCTGGAATGGAGGAATTTAATAACAAATTTCACTAGTGAAGATTTAAGTTATTTGTAATCTATAACTATCTTAAGATAATATAACAATCTATGTAAGATAATATAGCAATCTATGTAAAAAAATACCTTATATTGGTATTAAATTGCTAAAAGTAAAATGGAAGGAATCAAAAGACACATATTTTATGTTTACAGTGTACATAAATTATAAATAAAAATCATATTGGTTATGCTATGGATCAGCATTATCCTCCTTTTTTTTTTTTTTGATTGGTATGGGGCTTGAACTCTGGGCCTGGGCGCTGTCCCTCAGCTCTCCAGCTCAAAGCAAGCATTCTACCACTTGAGCCACAGCACCACTTCTGGTTTTCTGGCGGTTAATTGGGGATGAGTCTCACGGACTTTCCTGCCCAAGCTAGCTTTGAACCGTGATCCTCAGTTTTAAGCAACCTGAGTAGCTAGGATTACAGGCGTGAGCCACCAGCACCCAGCTTAAGAAGTGTTCTTTTGGGGGCTGGGAAGGTGGCTCAGTGGTACAGCACTTGCCTTACATGTATGAAGCCCTGGGTTCGATTCCTCAGCACCACATAAGCAGAAAAAGCTGGAAGTCGCACTGTGACTCAAGTTGGTAGAGTGCTAGCCTTGAGCTGGAGAGCTGAGGAACAGCATCTAGGCCCAGACCAGCTCATGACCAGCAAAAAAAAAAAAAAGTGTTCTTTAAAAAAAATAATAATAATAATGAACTAGTCAAACACTACCAGGGATAGAAAATTAAATTCAGAATGGGAAATTCTATAGGACAGAGAACTATCTTTGTCAATAAGTAATGCTTAAGAGAAGGGGTCTAAAAGCTGAATGTAGTGACATACACCTGTCATCTCAATACTCCAAGGCTGGGATGATGATCATGAGTTTGAGGCCAACGTAAACTACATAACAAGATGCTGTCTCAGCCGGGCACCGGTGGCTCTCACCTATAATCCTAGCTACTCAGGAGGCTAAGATCTGAAGATCACAGTTCAAAGCCAGCCCGAGCAGGTAAGTCCTTGAGATTCTTATCTCCAATTAACCACCAGAAAACTGGAAGTGGCACTGTGGCTCAGGCAGTAGAGCTATCATCACCTTGAGCTGAAGAGCTCAGGGACAACTCCCAAGCCCAAAGTTCAAGTCCCACAACCGACAAAAAGAAAAAAAAATGCTGTCTCAAAGAAAAACTATTAAAATTAAGTGATTTTTAGCTGTGCACCAATGGCTCACACCTATTCTACCTACTACTCAGGAGGCTGAGATCTGAGCATTGTGGTTCAAAGCCAGCCCTGGCAGGAAAAGTCTGTGAGACTCTTATCTCCAATTAACTACCAAAAAAAGCTGGAAGTAGAGCTATGACTCAAGAGATAGAGCACTAGCCTTGAGCAAAAAAGCTCAGAGACAACACCAAGGGCCTGAGTTCAAGCCCTAGGACTAGCACACACATGTGCATACAGGCACGCACATGCGCACACACACCGGATTTTAATCACTAATACAAGATAAAAAAGATGCAATGTCTGGACTTTATTTGGATACTGACTTAAGCAATTAGTTCTAAAAACCTTTTTCAAACATCTGCAAAACTGAACATGTATTTGGTACAATATTAAGGAATACTAATGTGATTATAGTATAATAACACGGTAGACTTGTGTGAGTAGTCTTTGATATGTATATTATTTAGGCTGGAATATTAGACTTTCAGAATCTTCTGAAGGTCTAGAAATTTCTAATAATAAAATAATAAGCATTAGACTATAAAAAAATGAAAGTACTCAAGGAAACTAACTCACATAATATCTAGCTCTCCTTAATCTGGAAAGGAAGACAGAAGGGACTTGTCCAAGGTATGGACTGTACTGAGTTTCAAAGGTTTAATCAAATTAAAAAAATAATATATATCACTTGCACAAGGGAGGTTTTATTGGGACATTTCCACACATGCACAACATATCCTGACCAACCTTGTCTACTCTGTCTTCCCCATCGCATTCACTGACTCCAAACAATTTCAGCAGGTTGCACTGTTTTATTTCCACACATGCAAAAGAACAAGTTCAACCAATTCATCTTCATTCAGTCTTTGGTTAGCCTTCCCCTCCTCTCCTGCTGGTATACACTCACCCAATGAGCTTGTTTTACTTTCCTGTACAGGATTTTCTTTTTTAAAGATGGGTATGTTAAGTTCCATTCAGCTTTAAAATGTCAAGGCCTAGCCGGGCACCGGTGGCTCACGCCTGTAATCCTAGCTACTCAGGAGGCTGAGATCTGAGGATCTGGGTTCAAAGCCAGTCCGGGCAGTGAACTCCGTGAGACTCTTATCTCCAATAAACCACTAGAAAACCGGAAGTGGCGCTGTGGCTCAAGCGGCAGAGTGCTCGCCTTGAGCTGAAGAGCTCAGGGACAGCGCCCAAGGCCAGAGTTCAAGACCCACAACTGACCAAAAAAAAAAAAAAAAAAAGTCAAGGCCTTTGACTAGCTTATTCCATATTTTTATTACTTTAGCTAATCCTTTTCTGTATACACTATGCTCACTTCTAAGTTTAAAACAACATATTGTAAGGATTTTATTTTCTTTTTGTGCCCATCCTGGGGCCTGAACTCAGGGCCTAGGACTCTCATTGAGCTTTTTTTTTTTTGGCTAAAAGCTAGCACTCTACCATTTGAGCCATTATTGTACTTCTGGCTGTGTGTGTGCGCCTGTCTGTCTGTGTGTCAGTATGTATCTGTGTGATTAATTGGAGACAGGCTTTCCTACCCGGACCAGCTTCAAACTGTGATCCTAAGGTCTCAGCCTCTTAAGTAGCTAGCTTACTGGTATGAGCCACCAGCACCCAGCTAGATTTATTTTTTTAAGTTATGAAAAATTCAAACCCACAGAATATTTGGAAATACCACGAACATGCTTTTTTCCTCACATACATCCCCCATCTCTTTATACTGTGCCACGATGTTTTACCAAACCTTCTGAAAATAGACTGTGGCTATCATACTTCACTCCTACACACTTCAGCACACACCTGCCAAAAAACAAGATCTGCCAAAAAAAAAAATAATAAGGACATCTTCCTTCACAACACTTACCTCAGATCCATATCATCCCTACCACCCTAGCAAAGACTGTCACCCTATATACCACACTTGGGTTCCTCAGCTGTCCTCAAAATATTCTTTGCAGATGTTTTTCTCAATCCTTTAAGCGTCCATGCATTTGCCAAATGAGAATGTCTTCCTTCAACTCTCCTCTTCCACCTTCGTTCTGTTCTTCAGCACACTCACTATATTAAGAGTCCTGTCCAGTTGTTGCTACAGACAGTGCTCCACATTCTACATATGTGTATTTCCTCAGGGTTAGATTAAGATAAAGACTTTTAAAAGAGCACTACACAGCTCTTGCTGGGCACCTCCCCTTTTAGCCCATCAAGAGGTGCGTGCTGAGTCATCTACTACTAGACACTAGGCTGTTCGCTGTGGCCACTCAGGAAAAGCAGGTGACCAATAGATCACATTATTTTCAAGGCATTATTTTTTATGAATAAAAGAGAGACAAACTTGAAATCTTGTGAATATTTCTGTTCTCCAACATTCTTCCCCTTAATGGTTTTAAATTTACTGATTATCTTTGCCTATATTAAGAAGATTGATATAATTTTAGCCGGGTGCCAGCAGCTCATACCTGTAATACTAGCTGAGATCTGAGGATCATGGTTCAAAGCCAGCCCAGAGAAAAAAGTCCTTGTGAGACTTACAATTAACCACTCAAAAACTGGAAGTAGAACTGAGGCTCAAAGTGGTAGAGCACTAGCCTTGAGCAAAAGGCACTGAGTTCAAGCCCCACCACCACCACCACCAACCAAAAAAAAAAAGTTTAGAATAAAATTTTAGAATTTATATTATTCCCCATACATATATTAATTGACGTTCTTCTGTTTTTTATGGCTTGATGTAATAGCTTACACCTGTAATCCCAGCTCCTCAATAGGTGGAGATCTAGAACATTAGGGTTTAAGGTCAGCCCAGGCAAAAAAGTTAGATTATATCTCAACAACAAAAATATGGAGTGCCTGCTAGGCACCGGCTTACACCTGTAATCCTAGCTACTCAGGAAGCTGAGATCTGAGGATCACAGTTCAAAGCCAGCCAGGGCAGGAAAGTCCACGAGACTCTTATTGCCAATAAACCACTAAAAACCGGAAGTGGCGCTGTGGCTCAAGCGGTAGAGCGCTCGCCTTGAGCT